AGCAGATGAAGATTACTTGTTTAAATCTTTTTGAATATTAAAAAACAGATATTAATATTAATTTAATTATTTTTTATTGTTAAAAAAAAAAACTCACCCAACCAACACCAGCGTTGCTATAAAACGTTGGCTAGAAAACGCAATCTTTAAAGAATTTTTTTTAGTGAAATCACATAATCTTCGGTATGTTTTCTTAGAGGTTTCAGTCATAAATATATATTTTTTTAATTTCTATTGGGATGGCAGATTTTTAAGTTCTAGGCAAAAAAAAGTTTAAAAATGTCTTTAGAATTATTTTATTAATGTATTTAAATAATTTCACTAAGTATTCATACTCTTTTATTCTTATAGGTTGATTTCAAAATCACTTTTCTGTTCTTTATTACAAAAGTTGAAATCATATGCTTTGTTACACACATCCTTTTTTAGAAGGTTTTCAAACTCAACTCACTATACTTCTGGGCTACCAAGCCTGTCAGGATTTTGGACATTAAAGCTGCATTGAACCCAGTCATCACTAATGGTCTTAATTCAAAGAAAAAAAACAACAGCATATATCTTTACCTGTTTGCACAATGAGAGAAGCTAATTTAACATTTCTGGTAATAACCATATAGAGAAAAACACAAACAAAATATTCCGTACAAAACACAAATAAAATACAAAAGTTTCCAGATTCATCGACCTCCTGAAAGGAGGGATTCTGCAATTGAAGAGGAATGCGTGTGTGCCTTATCCATGGAAGACGGATAGGACGTGACAAAGTCATCAAAACCTTCACCATGGGCAAACGTTAGGCCACTGGCAGTCAGGCCTAGTGCTGATAAGTCCGATAAAGGAACATCCCCTTCTAAGTATTGCACCACTTGGCGCATGCTTGGCCTGGCTGTGGGGTCTGAATGCGAACAGAGTAAACCCAGCTTCAATACCAACTCCACCTCCTTTGCTACAAAATCCGTCCCTAATTTTGGATCTCTGATCTCAAGAATCTCCCCTCTTTGCCAAAACGAAAACACCAGATCAACCAGCATCAAATCCCCTGTTTCACCTTGTGGCTCAATCGGCCTTCTTCCACAGGCAACTTCTAGCAAAAAGGCACCAAAAGCAAACAGATCGGTGCTGGTTGTGGCCTTCCTTGTTCGGGTGTGCTCCGGCGCTAGGTACCCCAGAGTACCCACCACATGTGTTGTCTGTGGATCCATTCCATGACCATACAATCTCGCCAATCCGAAATCTCCTAATCTTCCGTTCAATTCACTGTCTAAGAGAACATTGCTGGCCTTTACATCTCTATGAATCACAACTTGTTCCCATTCTTCGTGCAAATAGAGTAGCCCCGAGGCTACGCCCCTGATGACACTAAACCTCTGTCTCCAATTCAGAGTGACCTTCGGCTGGCCATAGAGGTACTTGTCCAGACTTCCGTTAGACCAAGAGCAACTCCCCTTTCCTCCGGCAAAACCCCAGGAGTTGTACTAAATTCCGGTGACGGAGACGACCGATGCTAACAATTTCCGCCACGAATTCCTTCATTCCCTGTCTTGATTCACCAGAGACCTTTTTGACGGCAATCTCCAATTTGGAGGTGGGTAATGTTCCTCTATAAACCTTACCAAATCCACCGGAACCCAGTAACCCTTTGTCCTTGAACCCATTTGTGGCCACATACAGATCTTTGTACTTGAATCTTTGAGGCCCGTAATCGAGTTCCCAATCTTCAACTACATCTGC